GTAACTGAATGGGTTGTCAGATTTTGTAAATTTTGTTGGGTTTCAAAGTGCGGGCCCGAGTTGGGTTTTGGCCGATTTTGGGCTTTTGATTCAAGATTTGATCTTTTTCGATCGGGATTGGTTTCTTTAGCATCATTTGATGTATTTGAGTTGTTTTTGGTTATTTTTGAGTCATTCGGAGGTCAGAACGCGCATGATGGCATTTTAGAGCATCATTTGGCTTGCTCGGTGTTGGAATTGGCTTGTTCGAGGTAAGTAACTCTTCTAATCTTGGAGCTAAGAGTATAAACCCTGTATATACGTGTTATGTGTTTGATTTTGAGGCGACGCACATGGTAGGTGACGGGCGTGTGGGCGTGCACCGTGTGAACTGTGATTTCTGTTATTTCGGTGGTACTGTGTATTTACCTAAACTTGTCTGAAATCATAAAATCTCTACGTACTAGAGTTATCGAGCTTTGATTATGTTAGAAACCATGTCTAGGCTACATGCTTATCCTGTTGGGACCCACTGAGGTTATTTCTGTTATTGAGTAATCTGCTTTCATTGCATTACATATTCAGTCATACGCATTCACATGCATATCATATCTCAGTCTCTATTGTTATTTATTGATGCATCATATCATTGTTTTCGGGCTGGTATCATGACATTATGAACCCGAGAGACTCGAGAGATTGATGACTGAGTGAGGCCGAGGGCTTGATTGTGAGAATGATTATGGGATCGGGTTGCATGGCGCAGCGGGTCAGATTGGCTTACTATAGCACGTGAGTTGTCCGTGCGATTCCAGATATTGATATTATGTCAAGTGAGTTATCTGTGCAGCACGTGAGTTGTCCGTGCGAATTATAGCGCTTGGGCTGTAGGAGCCCCTCTGGAGTCTGCACACCCCCAGTGAGCGCATGTACATATTGAGTGCGAATGCCGAGTGCCGAGTGACTGAGAGGACTGAGGGAATTGATACTCCGAGAGTATGCATATGATCTTTATCACTGATTGACATCGCATTTGGCATGCACACTTGATATACAGGCATAGAGATGCATTTTTCCTCATGCTGTATAGTATCACGTCATTTATGACTTCTCGTACATTTTGACATATGGGCATAGAGAGACATTTTACACTTGCTATTTGAAAGGAAAATGAAACATCTTATTTATTGTTGAAAAGATTTTTGGAAAAAATAACAATTTTCAAACTTACTCATATTTTGGTTTTTTCTATAAAAGATTTGGGTTTTCACTAAGATACTTGAAAAGAAATGCCTATTTTTCTGGAACTGTGAACGAACTAAGCGTTTTATTTCTGAGATACCTCTTTTGTTAGTTGAACTATACTGTTATGAACTGTTGTTAAATATTGGTATTGGACCCGACCTTTGTGTTAGCTCGTCACTACTTTCAACCTAAGGTTAGGTTTGTTACTTATTGAGTATATGGGGTCGGTTGTACTCATACTACACTTCTGCACCTTGCGTGCAGATTTTGACTGCTGACGTTGCTAAGATCCACGGGATCTGGTATTGAAGATGTACCTGCGTCCCGGTTGTAGCTGCCTCTTGTTTATAGTTGCCTTAGATTTATAAAACTCTGTTAATGTATTTTTCAAACAGATGATGTATTTACTTCATTTCAGTTTTGTAAACTCTATTCTTCGAAGCTCATGATTTGTACTACAAGTCCTTGAAAAATGTATCAGATTCAGATAATTCTTTACTTAATCGCTTTATTAATTGTTATTGAAATTGGTTAGTGGTTAATTGGCTTACCTAGCGAATTGGGTTAGGTGCCATCACGACTAGTGGATTTGGGGTCGTGACAATTGTTCTCACTAATTGTATTGTTCAAGTCTATAGACTGGTCTTGATTAGAAGGCTGACTGTCATGAGGACTGTCATGAAGTGTGTGGACATTAGCTGAATCATCAAGAACAACATGATCATATCATGTATCTGTATGTCACACTTCCCCTGAAGCAATGGTCTCCCCTGTTGTCTCAACATTGTCTTGCATTTTAGGAAAAAACTCAAGAAAAGTGGCTAAGTGAGTTTAAGTATTAGTGTGAGATGGTTTAGGCGGCACATAGGGCAATGTAAATTCATCAAATACCATATGCCTTGATATAAAGACCCTCCTAATTGGTGGATGAAAATACCTATATCCTTTGTGTAGGCTGCTGTGACCAAGAAACACATATAGATATGTTTTTGGTGAGAACTAATTCTGTCCCTTTATATAAATATAACATCTGCAACCAAAGACCTTCAAGCTGTTATAATCTGGGGAAGCATCATACAACTTTACAAAAGGGGTCTCATTTTTTAGAACTGATGAGGGTAGCCTTTTTACTAAAAATACATCCGTTAGAAAAGCTTCAACTCACATAAACTGAGGCAGCTTAGCATGAAACGGCATTGTCAACCCAGTTTCCATTATATTTTTGTGTTTTCTCTTGGAAATTCCATTTTGTTCAGGGTTTTAGGACAAGACATCTGCCTAATAATTCCACATCTTTCCAGATGTTTAACAAACTCAGCAATGGTGAATTCACCACCTCCATCACTTTTAAAATTTTTAATAGTCTTTGAAAACTGTCTTTCTACCATTTTCTGGAATTTAAGGAAGTTTTCAAAGAACTCAGATTACTTTTTCATGGGATAAAATCAGGTGTATCTTGTATTATTATCCACAAATATCACATAATATCTCATATGCCGAGAAGATTGAACAGGAGCTAGACTCCAGAGATCACAATGAATTTTATGTAAAGTTTCCTTCTCAATTTTATTTCTCAATTCAAAAGGAAGCGTACAACTCTTTCCTAACTTGAAACTAGTATAGATAGTAGGAAATTTATTCTAACTTCTAACATCAATAGATTTATTGCTACTCAAAAACTTTAAAGACTTCAAACTAGGGTGTCCTAATCTAGAATGTCAAATACTATCTGTCTTCTTCCAATCCTGTGATGCAGTCAAGCCATAGAGGTTGTTATCTTCCGGTACATATAATCCTCCTCTTTTAGCTCCCTTTGCCATTGGTTTCCCTAAATTCTTGTCCTTAGCAAGAAAATCTGAATCATCAAACTCAAGAGTACAAAAAATTATCCTTTGCAAGTTTGCTAAGTGACAGAAGATTCTTTTTCATATTAGGAACAATAAGAATTTCTTTAACTTTCAATCCCGACTTAACAGTATTTTCCACATGTGTGATTGCTAATTGTGATCCATCCTTGACGACTATTTTGTCTATTCCATTATAAGTCTGAAGGTCAGATAAATTACCTATTGAATTGGTCATATGGGAAGTTGCACCAGAATTTACATACATTGTATCATCCTCACCAGCAATATTTTGTAGATTAATAGCTGCTAAAGCTTGTGGCAGATCTTCTGCAGATTGTGGTTATTTCTACCACAAATTTGATAAGCATCGGTGAAAACCTTTCCCTTTCCAGAATTTGCAGATTGCACAGTTTGATTATTCTGGTTAGTTTTGCCTTGACCAGCAGGCCTGAAACCTCTACGCCTTGAATTAAAGTTTTTGTTGCCTCTCTTCTTATTAAAGTTTCCTTGACCTCTACCTCTTTGTGCGGTAAACGCCATGTTATAGTTCTGTTGAGGCATTTCTTCTTCTTTTTCTTCTCTCATGTCAAAGCCTCTAAGTGCATTGACAAACTGATTCAATGTGGGATATGGAGTCTTTCTCAGCATCACTATCCTAAAAGTTTTGTATTTAGGACCTAAAGCTCTGGCAAAGTTGATAACTTTACCTTCTTCATCAACTGGCTTGTGTATGGCTGCAAGTCCATCATAGATGCCCTTAATTTCCTTCAGATATTCATCAAGCGTTTTGGTTCCCAACTTAATATTTTGCATTTGATACTTAAGTTGGAACTCTTTGTCCTTAGTTGCTTGAAGGTAGGCTTCCTCCAAGAATTCTCACATCTCCTTGGCGGTTGAGCATCCTACAATAAGATACATGCAATCTTCAGCCTTGGTTCCTGAAATCCAAATCCTTAGCAATACATCCTTCTCCTCCCAGTCATCATCAACTGCTTTTCCACTACTGGCTTTAGCAGCCGATGCACTATCCTCGACAGTAGCGGAATCACTTACATCAGACATGCTTTTCTTGATCAACTTGGTCACTTTCATGACCTGCATGAGTTGTAACATCTGTGTTCTCCATATGAGATAATTATTGGGCTTAAGTTTGATTGGGCAGGCAACAATAAGGTGATGTAGTGAAGATGTTGATAATGACAAAGGGACAGTAGAGGATGAGTTTGGGGCCATTGTTTTTCAGTAGAAGAATCTGTGAAGGTTGTTGTGCAGCGTAGCTTACTACTGCTCTGATACCATGCAGAGAAACACAGTAGAAGTCGGGTAGAAAGAGATTGCTTTGTTGATATATCATCTGCACACTCGTGCACCAATTTATACAGATTACACTTGAGGAGTTCTATTTATTTAGGAGTCCTATATAAGGTACAATACACATAAGTAAAGATTCCTAATGTAACTACTACAAGTAATAAAATAGACTCGATCACGATCACTATCAATCACTAACTCTATCCATGATCCTTATCAATATCTTCAACAGTCAAAAGCCTTTGAGGTGGTGGTGGTTATAGGTATAACTAGGTATTTGCCAAAGGAAGTTGGTGTAGGGATATTATGGAAGAGAGGATTTGTTGAGTTGTAGGAGGTACAGTGCTGAGCGGAATAATTTAGACTTATTAAAATTGATTCGGAGCCCGGATTTGATACTCAGGTAGTGGAAGATTTTATTGATGGTGTGTGCATTGTGAGTATCTGCTTTAGCCAATAATACTAGATCATCTCCAAATAGTAGATGAGATAGAGGTGCAACAGTGCGGGAGAGTAAACAAACTTGATATACAGGTATAGTAAACAAATACCTATAGGAGCAATATTGACCTAAGAAAACAAAGGATGCTACGCTATTACTAAAAAGAAAAGGCTACATGGTTTTAATCAATCATTTCATAAATTAAACTTCACGTTAATAAGGAACTAGCGATACAAATCTTGAATACAAATACATATCTAAACTGTTATCATAATAATCACTAAAAAAAACTCAGCTAAACTTAAAGCAATAGAAAAATATCAGCCGACAATCTTTCTTCGGAATTATCTGAACATGTTGATCCTCCTATCCCGTTTATTTTAGCAACTCACCCTGATATCTCTTTAGTAGAACGTAACAACATATGAACTCTTCAGAATACTGGAGAACCAATTGGTGAAGTGACCAAATAAGGAAAGTTGTTCCAATTAAACTTGTTATCTTCAAAATCCCCTGAGCAGCTTCCCATAAAATTATCCACTTGTATTCCAGTAAAATTATTTGCTGAATTTTGTGTATATTCAGGATCAAATAGCTCTGAGAACTCTTGCATAAAACTTGGAAGGTCTGTTTGGACATCTTTTGTTGGGCAAGGATTTTCCAAACAAGTGATTGTAGACAAAGGAAGATTTTGGTCACCAACTTTTGTAATACATGGTACATTGTTCACGAACAAATTCTCCGAGGAATTTAACGTTGATGGTATCGATGATTCGAGGTTTTTGTTAGCAAAACCATCAAGAAGAATAGAACTAATGTCATTTGTTGTTGGTAATTTTGTGCTTGCTCTTTGCCATGCTTTTAATATGTCAAGACAAGGAAGTTGATAATAAGGTTGCGAAACGACGTAATTATTGTTTTTGTTATTGTTGTTGCGAGTGTTATTGAAGAGGTATTTAGAGTGATCTTTTGATCTACGAACAAGTCTTGCTTCTGCTTCAAGTCTTGCACTTTCCCATTCAGCCATATGACTAAGGTTTGCAACATACTTAGATTGATCATTTGAGCTACCATTAATGTTGTTTGTGATTTTTGGCTTGTGAGTCATTGGATCAATGCCCATTTTTGTTAATCTCTTTTTCAAACGTGAGTTCCAATAGTTTTTTATCTCGTTGTCTGTTCTGCTAGGCAAATAAGCTGCTATTGCTGACCATCTGAATAACAAAGAGAGTAATTAATCCATGTTAATGTTGCACAAATTAATCACACATGAAAAATGTTACACAAAAATGAAACTACATATTATGTAAATTGGGACAAGAGATTATCTAATTAGGCAATCTAACATTTGGATAGTTTAGGCTGGATTCTATGTACATTTATGACTTTGTACATGTGCGTAGTAAATAGATAGTACTAATATCTGACGTTGACAGTTCCTTCTGTGGTAGAGACAAAGATATATAGCTTCTATCGTTGAGTAATCTACTCCATCAAAAACTAAATAATAAGATAATAATGGATGTTAATTATGATTATTATAACGAAGTTGTTGAAGATATATACTATATATAGTTAAGTAATAATAATGTGTTCTCTTTTACTCCCTCCGGTCCATTAAGAAAGGAACATTAACCCTATTAGTTGCATCATGCCTATTGGTTGCATAGTAAAAGAGAAGAAAACAGTGACTATGGGAAAGAATGTGACAAAGACAAAGGTAACTAACAATTTATGACCCCAACCTAATGGCAGAAAATAATGAGTTCTATCATTTGCTGTCATTTGTTTTTTAATTTACTGTCCTTCATTAAATTATTACCTGTTTCCAAGAAGAGCATGAAGCTGAATTATAGTTCTTTCTTCTTGTAAACTGAACTTTCCTCTCTTGATATCTGGCCTTAGATAATTGATCCATCTAAGCCTACAACTCTTCCCACACCTCTGCAGATCTAAAACGGGAAAGAAGTCAAAATTATATATGCTATCAGTCTAAAAGATAATTGAGTAAATAAAGTGTACTCTCTAACCGTTTAAACCCTTAGATGAAATGATCACGCAATTCAACTCTTGGTGATCACATATTATAAAATAATATAAAAAAATTATATGTTTGGCTATAAAAAAGAATCAGACTCACACTTGAATAAAAGTATACAATATAATGTCTGATCACACAATTTAAAATATTAGAAGAATTAACATAATAGTCGCACCCAACCAATGACGGAGCTAGTTAGGATTTTCATTAAAAAGTGTCAAAATATATAAATGTAAACATACAAAAAAATCAAGGGGAGTCAACATGCATATAGTATATATATATATATATATATATATATATATACACACACACATCTACACAGTATATTTTGTCCACGAAGGTGTGTCAGTTGACACCCCTTGCGATAACGTGGCTCTGCCACAACACCCAACCGTTCAAATAAAAATAGCGGAAGACATATAATCTACACATAATCTATGTAAGATATATGCATGTATAACCATGTATAGTCAGTGTATAATCTATGTATACTAGCTAGAAAAAATAAATAGTAAATCTAACCGGCTATTTATGTAAATAATAGTTACTAATATTATTACCAGCTTTAGCAGGCAAAGCACGCCAGCTACCACAACCATGTTCCTCAATGCAAGATAAGAGTTTTCGGTCTTCTTCTGGTGTCCATGGCCCTTTCTTCAAACCTTGTTTATCACAGCACTTGGACCTTCCCATTTTAACACTAAGTTAACACAGAGAAAATCAAGAAAGTCTATTATTCTGTCTTTCTTTATGTGGAAATGAGAGAATATGGTATATGGAAATGCCAGTTTGAGAGTATATATAGGCAAATGATATAGGCCAGTGAAGAAATAATAAGTAGTGTGATCAGAGAGTTAGCTGCAATGTAAAATAAATAAAGATGGTACAAATTCCTAACATGTGGTAATGATCACAGCAGCACACTATGTGAAGCTTTAATTACAATATTGAAAATTTTCAGGCAGTTATTTTGAGAAAATGAGTTTGAACTGCCTGATTCTCTAGTTTGCAGTCCACCAATGAAAATCATCCCAACCGTTCAACAAAATTGCTATCCTATACCTTCTTTTCCGGGATTGTTATATATAGAGCCGGCCAAATTCAATATTTACTTTATCTAACCAGTATATATAGATTATACATTAATTATACACATTTATATATATATTGTACATGAATTTTATATATATATATTATATATTTGCTGGTTATTTTTAGTTTAAGAGATTAAGTGAGCGTCTATTTGGGTTAATTGTTGTTTCTTCTTTTTTCTTCTCTCTTTTTTACTATGTGTTTATGCAATTTGATATGAGCGAACTCTGAAAATGACCATCAACTCTTTTAACTATGAGTTACCAAAAGAATGAACGGCCAATACAAGATTAAAAAAAAGCGACTGAGGGTGGTTAGTTAGAAATGATAATTGACAGATTATTATATGTTAAACTATATTAATAGTGTAAAAATTTTATATACTTTCCGTATCTATAACTTAAATCAATCAAAGTTATTAAAAGCATATATTCTTTTAAATAATAATAAAAGTGAAAATCCTTTTACACTTGTAAGATCAGTAGTTACGTTATTTGTACATTCAAGTTGAGTAAAGTGATGTCTCTTGCACTACTTAGTAAATGTAGGCACCAATGCAAAGATTGAGTTGCTTACACCTTTAGACTTATTAGTTATTATAGTAAATATTCAAATACATAGAGGATGAGATTACAGGGTCTTACCCAAAGTAATGAAACAGTCTCTTCAAACAAGAAAAATGGGTGTCCTCTTTCCTTAAAGGAAGTTATTTAAATCTATGATCACATTAACACGTAATCAACAAAAATAAACCAAATATAATATTTTGAATAATTAACTCCTGGTAGAGACATTTTCTTTTTAATTAATGAATCTTACGCATTACCAATTCAGATTAATAGGACCAATTGGTCACATATACTATTGATAATTAAAAAAAAGTGTCATTGCAATAAGCAGGGGCGAAGCACATGTGTATGTTACGAACTTAGCTAAACTCAATAATTTTGGTCCAAACTTTATATTTGTCTTAAAAAATCTATTATATATGTACAAATTCTCATTTTAAAACTCGGTAACTTAAAAAAATTAGAACTCTAAACTTGAATAGGACAAAAATCTGCCTTTGGAATATTTAGCATAAAGTGGCATTAAAGAACGTCATCGGTCGAGCTCACCCAAGACATAGTCGACATGAGCCGTGGTCGAGACATCAATAGAGATCGCGGTCAAGATGTCAACAAGGGTCGAGATCGACTACTAATGATAAGACTTGTAACGGATAATTTGTCAGAGCAGGGTATTAAAAAGGGAATATTCTAGTGAATATTCCTAATGTTTGTACTATTAGGGTTTCCAAAGAAAAATGTCTCATATATATAGAAAGAAAAGACAACGATAATGGCATTTAATATTGATTTTGATAAAAATACTTTTGAGAAGAAGACTTTCTCTTTTGCAAGAATACAAAGACTACCTTTTGATAAAGATTCTAGGCCATATCATTTCTAACTTTTCCACCGGATCCGAGGATTGTTCATACGAATCTTGGACGTATCTGTCATTCATCATTGTTAGGAGAAATATTCGTTCAACCCACTCATTATTGGGTTAATCTTTCTCTTTATTTACTTAAATGCCATTTATTGTTAGTTGTACCTCTATGAATGTTCAGGCTTGAACGCAATTTTGCATTCGCTATCATTAATCATTTACGGGATCTATCCCATCTACTATACGTTTTCAAGATTAGTGTCTAGAGTTATTATCCATAACTAGATTTAACCCCTTGTTCCATAAATTTAATAGTTTAATCGGAAGTTATACTTTTTGGTCAAATAATTTGGCGCCATCTGTGGGGATTTTTTAGCTAAGTTTTTTACTTTTTTCTAGATCCATAACCGACGCTGGTTATTAAAAAAAATCCAAAGAAGAACCTTCCTCTCTTTATATGCACAGATCTAATGTGGTAGGTAACGGAGAAGAAAGAACGAGAATAATGAGCAACCTCCCAACCAACCTCATGGACATCATCCACGAGAGCTCTGAAGCAGTAGATGAGGACACAACGCCCAATGCCTCTCTTAAGCGAGGTGGATCACCCCATCCCCACTGCAGCATCACAAAATCCCATGTCAAGGTCGCCTCCACATCCGTGGAAGAGGAGACACAGCTAGCGATAAAGAAGCTCCTTGAGGCTTGGTTGACTGATACATTGACCAGCCTCCTCCATAAGCCCATTCAGGATGCGGCCGCAGTAAAGGCGAGAACATGCGCCGCACCATTAGTGGGCGAGCAACGTGATCAACCTCCTCCACCCACAACGATAGGTATTGCTCACAATGTTGTTAACCATGCAGGCGATGATGCTCTCACTGCCATTTTCAAAAGGATGGAGGAAATAAAAAATGAGAACAAAACACTTCGAGATCAAATGAGAGAGCACCAAGAAAGGGTGGATACAATACTGGATGCTCCTAAGTTATTGCTAAAGAGAGATGCCGGTCGGTTCATCGAGCAGCCGTATAGTGATGGCGTCGCACCATATGCCATACCAAAGACCTTTAAAATGCCGCCTTACCTGAAAATATACGACGGTATAACCGATCCCGAAGATCATGTGACCCGTTACGTCACCGCTATAAAAGGCAATGATCTTGCCAAAGAACAAGTATCCTCTATTCTGCTAAAGAAATTTGGTGAAACCCTTACGGGAGGTTCATTAACCTGGTACTCGCAACGGCTAATGCGTTCCATCAAAGCCTTTGAGGAAATGGCCGACAGGTTCGTGATGGCCCATGCCGGGGCCAAGAAGGCCGAGGAAAGAGTAAATGATATCTTTGCTATCAAAAAGTCTCCGGGAGAAGGACTGAGGGACTTCCTTGCCCGTTTCAACCGAGTGAGAATGACTCTACCCAATGTATCAGAAGGAATGGTGGTAGCCACTTTTCAAAACGGGCTGAACAAAAATAGTTTGAAAGCGACAAGAAAATTATTAGGTTAACTCATGAAATACCCCCGACAACTTGGGACAAAATACATAATGCATACTGTGCCGAAGTACGAGCATACGAAGACGACCTCAATGGGCTGACTCATCGACTGACCTCAGTACAAGTAGAATCCAGAAAAGATCGAAGAAGTGATATTAGGAGAGATCCGGAAACTTCACGGCCGAACCAGGAATGTCATCTCCTATATGTAAGGACTACCTCTGTATCCTCAGCTCGCCATGAAGAAGGCCCACCCCGATCAAGAATAGGGACTCACCGGAATGAAAGAGGTATGCCCTCTTTATTTTCCGCTTACAAATTTTGCGTGTCACCTACAGAGATCGTCTACGCCTTGGAGAATCTCGGACCAAAGGTAAAGTGGCCGCAGAAAATGAGGTCAAACCATAATACCAGAAAATTAGACGCCCTCTGCGAGTTCCATCAAGAGCGAGGACACAAAACCGAAGATTGCATCGCACCAAGACAGGAGGTCGTAAACATGTTGCGACAGGGATACCTCAAAGAATTGCTGAGCGATCGGGGAAGAACCAAATTTTCCAGGGGACGCGAACATCATCAAGGGCCGCCCTCGCTAGCCCGCACCATCCACACGATCACCGGCGGAGGAGACAACGCTTCCATAAATAGCGTGAAATTCACCACGAACCACAAGCTCAAACGGTCGATCACCCATGAACGGTATGATGAACTCGAAGAAAGTATCATCTTTGATAAGTGAGATACCAACGGTTTGGCATTCCCTCACTATGACGCTCTTGTTATTACTTTACGAATTTTAGATACCGATGTAAGATGGATTATGGTAGACGACGAGAGCAGCGCGTGTATTATCCATCCCCGAGTACTCACACAAATGAAACGTGAGGAAGAGATAGTACCATGTTGCATCACACTAACAGGATTTAACAATGTAGTTGAACGAACATCTGGCGAGATAACACTCTCCGTCATGGACGGCGACGTCACTCTGGAGACAACATTCCACATCATGGACCAGGATACGACATATAACATCATAATAGGGCGACCGTGGATACATTCCATGAGGGCCATACCCTCCAGCTTGTACCAAGTCATAAATTTCCCAACTCCATGGGGCATATTCAGCATAAGCGGGGAACAACACACATCCCAAGAGTGTTACCGCATCGCCCTAGACTACACGACCACTCAACAAATGAGAGATAAAGAGAAAGAAGCATAGAAATCAACAGAGTCGAGGTCAGTAGGCGACGACATCGAGGACGTCATCAGAGACCCCGATGTGGCCGGAGCCGCAGGATCGACCATAGAGTACCTCGGCCCCGTTCAGCTAGACGTCAACGACCACAGCAAGAAAGCCTACATTGGCTGCAAACTCCAGGAACCGGGTAAGTTCCACAAATTTCTAATTGCTAACGCGGACGTGTTTGCTTTTAGCTATGCAGATATGCTAGGTATCCCAAAGGAGATCGCCACACACAAATTCAATGTCGACCCACTCTACCCCTCGGTAAGGCAGGTTCGACGTAAGTTCAACCCCGTAATCAATAACGCGGTGCGTGAAGAAGTGGAAAAACTATTGGAAAATGGTTACATCAGGGAGTCGAGGTACCCCCCAATGGGTCGCCAACGTGGTCATGGGGAAAAAGAAGAACGACAAGTGGTATATGTATGTATACTTCACTAACCTAAACAAATCCTACCCCAAGGACTTGTTCCCATTGCCCCACATCGACCA